CGTAGTCGATTGGGTTGGGTCCGGCACAAGCATCCATTCTGACCCGAGTTTCCTTCCACTTCCATCGCTCGCCCGCCCAGTTCGAACACTCATCGACTACTTCTCCGAGATCCCCGGTAGCAGCCAAATCCAGATCCAAGTGACGAAGGAGAATGCGGAGTGGGCCAAGGAGGAGAAGAGGATTTTCTTGAAGCAGAACTTGGAAACCAAGCTGATCGGGCTGTGAGTGCCGCTCCTCGACTGGAACTTCCACTCGCTTCTCGACCAAGTCGTGCTTTAGTCTCTGTCCCTGACCCTCATACTCCTGCTTTTTTCCTCATCACCCTGCCTCGCGAACTTGTTCAGCTACTTCCAAGCAAAATCTTACAGGGAGGCCCTTCCCCTCATCGACCAGCTTCTCAAGGAGCTCAAGAAACTTGACGACAAGATGATTCTCACCGAGGTTCACCTCCTCGAATCCAAAGTCAACCATGCCATCTCCAACTTCCCGAAAGCAAAGGTACGTCCATCTCAGGCCTCTGCACCGGTTTTGTCGGACTCCGCATCGATCACTCACTCCTGTGCCTCGCCACCTCGGTCATGAAAACCTTTTTGGCGTCGGACCCATTAGGCTGCATTGACATCGGCGCGAACAGCTGCAAACTCGATCTACTGCCCACCGACACTTCAAGCGCAACTGGACATGCAGAGCGGAGTATTACACGCCGAGGACAAGGACTATACGACAGGGTAAGAGGAGCTGAAGATTCTGGGCGATCTCCGGAGCTGAAATTCCTCCCCAGCCGACTGACATGAGCACCATTCTCACAAACCGCACCACTTTGACAGCTACTCTTACTTCTTCGAGACGCTGGAAGGGTTCGCGTTGCAAGAGGACCCAAGGGCGACACTAGCGCTCAAGTACATGCTCCTCTGCAAGATCATGCTCAATCTCTCGGAGGACGTAAACGCCATCATTGGTGGAAAGTACGCCACCAAGTATGCAGGCAAGGATGTGGAGGCGATGAAGGCCGTCGCCAAGGCTCACGAGGAGAGGAGCCTGGAAGGCTTCGAGGAGGCACTAAGAACGTACAAGGATGGTGAGTGTGACGTTCCCCCGTCCCCTCCCCAAACATCGAGAACACGGAATGGTCATCACCAAGCATTCGGGCTCAGTAAATCAAAATGAATGAATCATTCGCCCTTCCTTCCCCTATCCATCATTCGGGGCAACGATGACTTCCTTCCTCCCTCGTAACTAGAACTATCGAACGATCCTATCATCCGAAACCACCTCTCTGCGCTCTACGACACGCTGCTCGAGCAAAATCTGCTCCGGATCATCGAGCCCTACAGCCGGGTGGAGATCTCTCACGTGGCCAAGGAGGTCAGGCAACCGGTCAGGGAGGTCGAGCTCAAGCTAAGCCAGATGATCCTTGACAAGGTCTTCCACGGCATCCTGGACCAGGGCGCCGGCTGCCTCGTTGTCTTTGACGAGCCGCAGGAGGACAAGACCTACGAGGCCACCCTGGAGACGCTCAAGCATGTCGGTAACGTCATCGACTCGCTCTACAAGAAGGTGAGTTGAGACGGGGCCCCACCGTGGATCTGTGATGACTCGCGTGATTCGATTTGAGCATTTCTTTTTCCTGGCCACTAACCGCGACACTGTCTATCCGACCCTTGCCCTCCTTTTCTTCTCGAACTCAGGCGAACAAGATGACGTGAGAATGGAAACCTCTTCTCGACCCCACCCCACCCTTGCTCCCCTAAACTTCTTCAAGACTCGGGATCATTTCCTCTCTCTCTTTCTCTCTCTCATCCTTTCTGATTACCATGTAGCGATGTATGGGGAATGCAGTCTTCAGGGGAGGTCTGTCACGCGTCTGATCTAGATCCAAAAAAACAACAACACCCTAGTGAGGTTGCGCGTGGACTCGGTGGAATGAATCGAGAGGAGGAGAAGGACCAAAGGTAGAGAGCATTTCCTTCCTTCACTTCTTGCTGGGACGCTGAGGAGACGAAGGGTCAAGGACGTCTTCCTCCTCCCTCGTCCTCTTGTAGCCCTTGTTGAACTCGTGCCCCGAGTCGGGAGACCTGGCCTTGGCCAGGACTCTCTCCAGAGCGTCTAGGCCTCGATCCACCTGCTCGATCTCAGGGCCGTACGAGATCCGGATGAACTTTTCGCAGGGAGAGTCGATAATGTTTCGGCGGTGGGCGGGACTTTTTTATTTATTTTTTATTTTATTTTTTTTGGTGTGGCGAAGGGACGGTAGGACGGGAGCAAGGTGTACGAATCCACCCAGTTCCAACAGAGTAGCGTGTGAGTCGGAGTCTCGTAGTTGCTTAAGCGTGGTTTCAGATGTCCCCTCCCGCTTTTGGGATTTCACTTTCTACGGGGTGGGGAGAGGGGGAAAAGAGGCTTGGGTCTCACTCACTTGATGTCGAAGGACTGTCCGGGAACGACAATCGTCTTCTCCCTCAGGAGCTCTTCGAACATGACCAGGCCCGAATTGAGGGGCGCGGGCAAAGATTCGAGAGAGAGCCAGATGTAGAATGTCGCTGTTGCGTGATGGATTTCATCCACGTGAGGTCGTTTTGAAGTAGGCAGGCGGTGGGTGAGTGGATGGGGAGAAATGGATAGATAGGGTCAGGGCATCCTCTAGCACTGCGACGTGCAAAGGAGAAGCACTCACCTTGAGGTTCGACGACCACCGGGAGACCCATCTTCTCGAGCCTCTCGAGGACGTGCTTCCTCTTGGCTCTGAAGCGCTTCTGGAGCGCGATGCGGTCTTGCTTGCATCTTTCCAGATCGAGCATCTCGAGCGCAGCGCACTGCATTGGGTGCGATGCTCCTCCACTGGGTCATTTTTTTTTCAGTTTTTTTTTTTTTCAAGTCAGCGTCGCTGAGAGAGGGCGTCCGACGAGATCAGGTTTCGAGGAATGAACGGCTATCCATGAGACATAAACTCACTCGAGGAAGCTTCCGGACTGGTTGAGGGCGGTGATCATGTCCTTGGGTCCCACAACCCAGCATACGCGCCTGTCGGAAAGGTGAAGGAGGGGGGGGGGGGGGAAATTAAAAAAGGGGGGGGGGGGGGGGGGGGGGATCTTAGTAAATCGGTAGGGTTTGGTTGGCCCACCCCAAGTCCAAATCACAATGAAGGGAAAGGCCAATTGAGCTGTCATCATGCCGACCATCGCGGAACCTGCTCACCAGCCAGGGCACCTCCAGTTTTTTGTTAGGCCGTCGATAATGACGACCGGGGTCTCGTTGACGTCCTCAATGTACTCGGCAGAGGAAACGGCCCTTCCTAGCTCGCCCTCGTGGAGGTACCAGCTGTAGAACTCATCGAGGATGAAAGTCGCTCCCATCTGCTTGGAGGTCATGACGAGCTCTTTCAGCTCATCACCTTCGATGATCATGCCAGTCGGGTTGCGAGGGTTGCTCAGGATGACAGCCGAGAGGCCGCGGCCCTTGATCTCCTTCTTGAGGTCGTCGACGGACAGCTTGTAACGATCCGCAGCGGAGAGGACGGTGGGGATGGGGACGAGGTTTTTGAAAGCCGAGAGCATGCTCTCGTAGCTCGTGTACTCTGGCAGTTGGTAGCCGCAATTGACCGAGCCAATGACTGCTGCGACCCTGGTCATACCTGCCCTTCCACCCGGTACGATGCATACATTCTCGGGCCCATACTTTTGAGGTTGATTCTTGCGGTAGGTCTCGTTGTCTGGCTCAAGGAGGTTTCGCGGAGAAGAATAAGGTTGCTGGATGGGTGAACTCGAATTTCCCACGAAACCCTTGGTCTCGATCCGTGGCAAGGCATCAAGTGATGGAGGATATCATCAGACCTACTCACAATAGTTTGCCACAGCTTTCCTGAGCTCTGTGGTGCCCGTTCCCGGAGCGTACTCGTGAACGGCATCTCCAAATCTCTTAAGGTCAATCGAGTCGGGCTTTGGGACGGCACCAGGAATGTCTCCGACCTGCGTCGAAAGGGATCCGAGAGTTTGGAGCGGAACGATCGTTAGCAGAGGCTTCAAGATATGGTCGGGAACCTCGAAAGCTGACTCGATCCTTACCTCTGGGGCACCTTGACCTGAAATGGGGTTCCAAGTATGGGCAAAGTGTAAAAATGGAGGTAAGTTGGAAGGTATAGGTAGAGGAGGAAGAGGAAGAGGAAGAAAGGGAAGCGGAGGAGGAGGAGGAGGAGGGGAAACTTGTGATTTAATTAATCGACGGGTGCTTTGCACCGAGCAACTCACCTAGGTTTCCCCACTCGGGGTTGCCTGGGGAACATGTTCGATGGAGCAGGCATGGAACAAGAAAGGGATCGCAGCATACATTCACGGTGTCAGCAGGCTCTCTGAAGAGAGGTAGAAAGAAGGAGAGAGCGAAACTACGATCGTGAAGGGATCCCGGGCATCCTTTCACGACTGGCGAGGAGAAAGGGAAGGAGAGGTTGGGAGCCTTTTCAACGGACCATAGTAGAAGCCATTGGCCGAGGCCCGGTCAGTGACGTAGATCACACCTGTAGAGCCGGGGTGCTTGATACCGGGGAGGTGCTCTTCCTCCTTCTTGTCCCGATCACGCCCATGGCCTGGGTGGTTGCGGAAGATTCGGTGGGCCTCGCTCTCCGTCTCGTGATGAATCTGATCAACGATGGCCTGGGCAGCCGATCGGAACGTCTCTAAGGGGGTTGCTTTCGTTTCGACCATTTTTTTTTTTCAAAGTGAGAGGTGGGTTTAGAAGGTGCTTGCTCCTCTTTGAAGGGGATAAATCGAGCCTAGATTCCAAGAGAGAGGAAGACGCTATCCAAGCAGGGAGGAGGGAGAAGGGGATGGGGTGAGGTGGTGGTGTTTGCCATGCCAGCCGGACCAAGCCTGCCGGCGGCTGCACTCCGCCGAGTTGAGCACAGATCAATCAACCTCCACAAGATCCAGGCGAGACGGGAAACAGCGCAGAGCGGATTCGAAACTAGGAGGGAAACAACGTCGCCTGGTGGAAGACGAAAAAAGAATGACCATCCTGGGACTCGAACCCAGAACCGCTCGTTTCCTTATGGATCGCAAGATCCAGCTCGTAGACGAGAATCCTAACCAATTAGACCAAACGGCCATTTGTTGGTAGCTCCTCAAAATATTGCATTCATAGACACAACATACATGTTTCTGCAAAATCATCATTGCGAGGCCCCTGAGCGTAATGGCTTGCTTCGCTTCACAGCTGGAGCCAGGGTCCAAGTTACCAACCTTCCTCTTGATCAACCGTCCAACCGTAAAGCCATTCCATACCTTTCGTTCTCATCGTGATCGGGAAAGGTCGCTTTCGGAAGGATAAGAGCGGGAAACATTTGAAAGTAGAAGCCGAAAAAGTATGGGGACAGGAAGGTGGGGGGGATGGGGTGAAGATGAAGGCCCAGGTATATGTTTGGGAAATGGACAATTCATGGATCATAAGATGACTATCAAAAAAATTAAAATGACAAGTAGAAGAAAGAGAGCGGAAAAGAGCATGGATGCATCTTCTTTCGGAGCTTGAGGCTTGGTAGAATCTGTCGTGGGTTCCGGTCGGGGTTGCGATCACGACAGGGGTAGGGGAATGTGGGAAACAGACCATTAATTGGAGGCCGTCACCTTCTCGGCCTCATTCCTGGTCGGATTGATTGGGTTCTTGGGGGAGGGGATAGCCTTGTTCGTCGCCTTCTTCTTCTTTTTCTTCATCATGGCTGTCGCAGATGTAGTTTTTTTTTTTTTTTTTTTTTTGGCCGTCCATACCGGAGAGAAAGGTGTTTCGGTTTTAGTTGCATTTTCACATTGAGAGAGGAGTAAGGGAGGGGACTAATCGACCATGTTTGCTTCCACTCACCAGTTGCGACGGCGCTCCTGACGTTTTCAACAATCTCGCGGCTCTGCTCGAGGTACTCGTTGTCCTCCAATCTTTCCTTTCTCTTTCCGATGTGGTTGTTGCCGATTTGGGCCGTTGTGGATGGACCCGCCCCTCTATCGCCACCACTACCACTGCCGCGGCTACCCTCCGCTTCGGGGCTGCCACTTCCCAGTCTATCGCCGGCTTCGTCAAGCTTGAGCGCGGCTTCCTCAAAGTCCTTGGCATCCTTCGGCGCTCTTCCAAGCATCCTCTCAAGCTTGGCATACTTTTTGGCCTGGGCTTCGGAGAGCGCGGCCCTCCTGGCCGGTTCGGCTTCGAGGTAGGCCGCCAGCTTCTTGGCCTCTTTCATTGTGCTCAGCCTCCTACCGTTAAGGTCCCTGCACGAGTCCGTGTTGGCGTTTTTCCCGCCGGAGCTCATCTTGCCACCTTGAGCCCTGAGCATAGAGCCGAAACCACCTTTGCCACCCGGAAGACGGACTAGGACTTGCAAGCTCAGATATGTGGAGGATGACGGGCTCGCTAGCCAACCAAGGCGGGTGGATGGATCAAGGACCTTGCCATTGTGGAGAAGCATCATCCTCCCCACCATTTCCAGTTGCCTTTGGTCGGCATTCCGGCTTGAGCTCGAGCTTGTCAAGCCGTAGGCCAAGCCTCGTAGGATGTCGTAAGCGGTGGTATGCAAAGGTAGACGGAGGGACAAGGTGGAGTTCAAGGGAGAAAAGGAAGTGAGAAGGACGGAGACCGAATCTCTGTAGGTGGGATTAGGTGGGGTGGTGAACACATTCGAGGTTCAGTGACAAGATTCCTAGTCCTCCTTCCTTTTCCTTTTCTTGTTCCGCTCTTTCTCTTTGACTCACCTGCCATCTTGTTTTGCAATTTTGTGCAAGGCCGGTGACGTTTGTGGGTAGCATATCATGGTGGACATGGCTGAATGCAGTGTCGGGGGTGGGTGTGACAGAGAGAGAGAGGTGTTCCCGAAAAGATGGTGTAAAACAGGAGACGTTCGGTGTGGATGTGGATGTGGATGTGGATGTGGATTTAAATGTGGATGTGGATCTGGGTGTGGATTTCGATGAAGATGAGGATGAGGGTTGGGTGAGGATGATGATACTGGTGGTAGTTATGGTGGTGGCGATGATGGTTGTGTAGGCACGACAAAGAGCGATAATGGGGGAGGGGAAAAAAAACCCTTATTCCAATTTTCGCCTCCACCTTGGTGGGCGGCTCCATGCCAAGTGCCAGGTTTGGTCGTCCGTTGCGATGGTTCGCTCTCCTTCAGTCTCACCCTCCCTCTCTCTCTCCCTATCAACGAGGAGCAGTCACAATGATGTGAAAGTGTATGCCGAAGTCTTCGACTCGCCTCATCAAACCAACCCAGCCAGAGTCCAAACCAATTGGATTCCTCCTTCCATCCTTTCCCTGCCTTCTCCTGAAACCACTTCTTGTCCTCTTCACTCCCTACTAGCCCCCTCAAGGTCTTGCTGAGATGTCGTGACACAATGTCAGTTCCAGATCACCCCATCCCCCATGCGGCCCAAACTTGAACACAGACGAGATGCTAACCTCTTCAATGCGCCGCCCCTTTCCTCCTCCTCCTTTTCCCAGGACCAACGCCCATGGCTTCCTTATCGAATACCCAAGGATCAGGGTCGACCGATTCGATCGGGCGCCTGCCAGGATCCCTCCCTTCCTGGTCTCTCACCGTCGCGATAACGTCTTCAAGGATGCTGGTGTTGGCTATGGTGATGGTGAGGCGGTGCCGGCTGAAGATGATTTCCAACCGGACCAAGAGTTTTTCCAGCAGCCCCTCCTCTACCTCCTGACCCACGTCCATACCGACCACCTCAGGGGCCTGGATCAACCCGGGCTGTCGGCCCCGATCTATTGCAGCCGGGCGACCAAGAATCTCCTCCTCCGCTACGAGAGGCAGAGGGATAGGGTTGGGTACGACAATGGCGAGGCCAAGCTCTTCAGGCCATACTCTCACCTTCGGGTCAGCGACTCCCAGGCCAAGAGCCAGAGGAGGTTGAGCGGGATGGATGGTTTCGTCGGCAGGGACCTCCTCAGGGCCTTGCCTTATAACACGCCTACCAAGGTTCGCTATACGCCACGACGGTATGTGACCGTCACGCTACTCGAGTCCAATCACATGCCCGGCGGCGCGATGTTCCTGGTCGAGGGGCATAGAGGAGCTGTCTTGCATACGGGAGACCTCCGAGCCGAGGGCTGGTGGTGCGAGGCCCTGGTTCGGAATGCGGCAATTAAGAGGTATTTGGCTTGGGATAGGTACCGATTCCAGCCATCTCGAGACCCAGAGCCTTTTGAGGAGGAACCATGGTCGGAGCGACTGGCAGGGAAGGACGAATGTGGGTCTGAGAATGCGGTGAGCGATGTCGAAGCAGAAGACGAAGATGACGTGTCAGAGTCCACTACACAGGACGTTGGGGGCCAGACATCTTCTCCTTCGTCCGACTCCCTCCGTCTGGAGAACATCTACCTCGACACCGAGATGCTGATGAGCAACAGGCCCGTACCTTCTAAGGAGCAGTCCGTCCGAGACATGATAGCCATGATGCGGTGCTACCCGCAAGACGCGAGGTTTTTCCTCAACTCTTGGACGTGGGGATACGAGGACATGTTGGTTGCCGTCTCCAAAGCATTCGGAGTCAAAGTCCACGTGGACCGGTTCAAGGCGGCCATGTATAGGGCGGCATCCTGTGAAGATCCCTACCTTCGACAGATCGTCACCTTGGACGAAGGTTCGACGCGCTTCCACGCTTGCGAAAGGTCCGATCGGTGCACGTACATCTCTGAGGGCGTCGAACATTTCGAAGCCACCGCCGGCTTGCAAGTGGAAGTTGAGAGACCCTACTCCTCCTACTCCTCATCCTCCTCGCCTCGATCGGAAAGGCTTGATCTTCCCCCGGAACAGAGGTGGGGCCCGCCCTCGCCGGACCTGCCGGGAAAAAACAACAAGCCGATCGTGGTTTATGTCCATCCAGCGCAGATGTCGGAAGAGAGGTGGAACAAGTTCTTCCCGCAGCACCTGGAGAGACTCAAAGCGGCCAAGGAGGGTCTCACCTTTTGGCCCCGGAGCATGCCTGTCCCAATCGAGAGACATTCTCCGTTACCAGAGCTCCAACGTTTCGTCAACCTCTTTCGGCCCAAGACCGTTTCCCCAAACACGATCCTCGATCAGAGGGGAGGGGTCGACTACTACATGCTGCACCACGTCTTTGGCAGGTTCCTCCACCCGGGAGGACGGGAGAGGCTGGTCACCCAAGGTCTGGCCTTCCTGGGGGACTCGAGGTGGGATTTTTTCGAGAGGCAGATCGAAAAGGCAAGGAGGGAGGCCATGCCTGGGGGAAAGGAATCGATCGAAAATCACGCCGGCGCGAGTCAGAGTGGTGGGAGTAGCTCCAACGTTGTTGTCGGGATCGGGACGGTGGAGCTCGACGCCATGGCTCGACTTGGGAATTCGAGCTTGAAAGGCGCAGCCATGGCCAACATGACCGAAAACCTGGAGGCCATGAGGGATGTCGAAGCCTGGAGGAGGGCGGAGAGTCCCGATTCGATAAGCGGGCAAGCGGACGGGAGCTCCGCCGCTGCCGCGACCGATGGCTACGAGGCCGATCAGAGTCAAGTCACGACGAACCAATTGGATCCTCATCCCTCGCTGTCTTTCAATGTGCCGCCTCCGCCGCCGTCAATGTTCGACGCCCCAAGATCAAGCCAGGAAGGAAGACCTGTGAATGATGCTGAATGCGTCGTCGAGCCTTCACCTGAATCACCTCCCCCTTCCGAGCTGACCAAGGATCTTGCGCAAAGGTACGTCAACATCCTGATCCACCACTTCAAGGTCAACTACGAGAGGAAGGCGAGACTGACCGACCAAGAGATGTGGCAAGAGGTCAGGCTGACGATGCCGGACCAAGCCATCAAGGTCGAGGATCACGGTTTTTCTGTCTTTGGCGTCAGACCCCCTGCTTGGGGAGGGAAGACAGTAGAAGATGGTGAACAGGGGGACGGGGACTTGAGCAGCGAGGCGGATCAGACTGGAAGCTCGTCCAGTCCCTTGATCATCCGAGCTCCCCGCACCCCGAGCAAAACCGTCGGTACCGCAACGCTACGGCCAAGCCTGCAGGAGAAAGCAGTCCAAACCCCTCGGCAATCTCGGATTGGCGAAACGGCCTTTGGGGGCCACTTTATGGAGGGGGGACGTGAGGAGG